ATGCGACTGGATCAATTTATCACATACAGATTAGTCTCTACAAACTAACAACAAAAACAGTAAAGTTTAGCCAAGTAGGGAGAATAATTGACCAGTTTAACTACCGTATGTTCATTTGCCCACTCTTCGGGGGGGGGGGGCTCTCTTGGCCAATTATTTCCCTTCTGGCGAATTTTACGATCCCTACCCCCATAGGATGGCATGGTGGAGGCAATATACAGATAGTCGCGGTAACGAATGTTCAGCATTGTGCACTTAACTGGACTGAATATAAAAAATACTTCTGTTCAGCAAATTATAATTTTACAGTCACGCATTCATTTGCTTTTTCGTAAGGTCGTTTTGGTTATACTTTTCTTGTATCAATATTTCCGCCTGAAACATGTTTCCTACCTACAGCTAAGCAGTCCTTGTGTGGAGCAAACAGCCATTTCGACCTGTGTGGAGGAATGTGCCGCCCAACTTGTGACAACCCAACTCCGATTTGCCCGGCGGTCTGCTTCCCCGGATGTGTGTGTGACGAGGGTTTCGTCTGGTCCGAAGACACCTGCATCCCACAAAGGATATGTCGTGAGTATTAGCTCTTCAAAATCCCTTCAATGAACAATGGTTTAATTCATGGGTGAGCATATAGAAATAACAGAAAAAAGATCCATATTTTACGAACCTACTTCAAAGGGATAGAAATATAAGACTTTTTTTATCATCTTGGTGATAGCTACAGGCTGTATATGAGTCACTACATCAGACTAGAGTTTCACGTACTAAAATATCTTAGAGACATATAGCAAGAGACAAATGACGATGGATTAAACTGTTCAGAGACACACACTCATTTGGCCTGAACATCCAAGAACAGTCACAGTGTTTATTAATATCATAGTGTATTGGTGACAGGAGAGAGAGAAAGAGAAAGGAGGAGAGGGCGAGAAAGAGGGAGGGAGAGAGAGAGGGATAGACATTGAAGAGAGGAAGAAAGAGAAAGAATGGAGTGAGTTCAAAACGTGATGTTATAATTTTCCATTACCAACAGCTAAGAAGTGCCCGGCCGGAAGCCATTGGTCCACGTGCGGCAGTGCCTGCCCTCCATCTTGTGAGGAACCCGTCCGAGCCTGTAATAAGATGTGCGCGCCCAGCTGTGTGTGTGACACCTGGAGCCACGTTTGAGACCACGACAAGTGCATCCCGCTTAAGGAGTGTCCGTCTGAGGGCTGCGAATACAATGGAAGAAAATACCAGGTATACTAGCCAATGATTCACTACTAGCCATGTACTGTGCCATACAACACATGACTAGATTATGTAATGCAAAATAAATCAAGCAACTGGATTGATTTTCTGTCATCTAAGCCAATCCAAGTGCTTTTATGGGTGACTAACCATTATCAATAGATTAACTTTTGATGCCTAAAACAGCAGCTTGAAGTTACGACACAGAGTCTTAAATGCCTAATTATATCATCAGCAGTATGTACGTGCCTATAGCTAGGTACACAAGTTTCCTTTTGGTTTTGCTACAGGAGGGAGACTCGTGGGGTGATGAAGACGAGGCCGGTAAGAACTGCGTCTGCCGCCAGGGGAGATCTCGGTGTCTGTTTGCGGACTGTTTCCCCCCGACAAGCCGCCACGTCAGGACGGAGGATGGCACGTGGGACTGCCAGAAAATCGGTAAGAAAAATGAAATGTTCAGGGCATAAACTATTGATACGCTCCATAACGAAAAAGGATATGAGACACATCAACCTGCTTAAGTAGTTCGCTGGCTTTTAATTACCTCCATGAAAAGTGGAAGTATTGTTTTTAGTATGTCTGTGTGTGCACGTGTGTGCGTGCGTGTTTCCGCATGGCCCTTAGGTCAGGTTGTAATGGATATGGTTTCATTCATCTGGTAGCGCTCGCTGTTTTCAAAGGTGATATTCGTTACATGACCTCCTTGACAGCTGGTGTTGTTTCCCTTGTATTACAAAGAAAGGGATCGCAAAAGGAAATTGCTATCTAAATATACAACGGAGGCCTGTCTCCCAATTCTTGTTTCTTAAAGTGGTATGTGACAAGTCATAAAACTTTCACTCTGTTCCATTCCTGCATTTCCAGAGATTGGCCAGTGCCCTGAAGGTTACATCAAGCCATCTTACTCCAAGGAGATGTTCTTCTGCTACCGTTTTGAAAGGCAGCATGTTTCCTACCGTGATGCCGAGAGCAGCTGCGGTGCTGACGGCGGCCGTCTGGTGACCATCCGCGACTTTCGGACACAGCTCTGGGTCGCGGTGAGTTCACATCTTCATACAAGGATCTTTACAGAACATTATGTAGTATCCTACTTTCCTCAAAAGCAAAATCATACATACAAGCTTGGCCGATGGCTTCCGTTCCTTATTGTAATGAAGAAGGTGACTTTGTTGAAGCCGTACATGAGAATGAATATCAAAGTTCTTAATTCACAACCACTTGTTCAACAGAGGCCTTCTTTTCGCGACCGTCTGTCATCATCATCAGAGCAACTATATGTGGAGCGTAGCTTGGTGTTACTGCTGACAATGCGTCCTAAACGTATAGTAATTGTGATATACTAAAGACACTGTTACATCATAGTGAGATATGTGGTTCTAAACGTAAAGTTTTGTTATATACAAAAATATTACAGACGCTCATCGAAACGTTGGCTCTTGTTAAACCGCGTCCTGTGACAGGTACTTGGTGGTCTTTCATTGACTGCATATTTTAGTAACCATACATGGATCCTTCCTACAGATTCGCACCGTGTTCCACATCCGTGAAAGCACGTGGATCGGCATAGATGACAGGGAGACCGATGGACGACTGGTGTGGAGTGACGGAGTTCCGTACAACAGGCGGGACTACAGTCGCTGGGACAGGCGTGTGGTGAACACGGAGGATAACGACTGTGCCTACATGTGTCGGCCTGAGAAGTACCGCTGGCGCCTAGGCTGGTGCGAGGCTGAGCGGCCTTACATTTGCGAATACGATCCTTTCGCTGTGACAGCAATCAGGTCTTATCAGGATTTCTAGATGAAGGAAAGTCGCGAATTTTCTTTCCAATTATTTAAATCATTCGCTTTAAAAGGAGAAAGACACTGTTTATATAGAACAAGGCAGACAGCACAACTATTTTACGATATAGTATTAAATGTCACTTTTTGTATCTCGAAAGAAAACCTACGGAATGTGACTACTTTGGTTTTTTCTACTCCTTAAATTTGTAGCATTCCATGCATGCATTCCTAGTAGCTATTTTAACTCTGTATGCTATCGTCTATGTACACGTGAATGCTATGTATTGTTAAGACGGGTAAGAATGTAGTTTTCAGTGCTCTGCATTTAGTTTGATTGATTTAGGTTTCCTTTTTTTATTTTCGGTTGGTGTTTATGTTTGCTTTCTGTCGCTGACAATAAAACTTGGAAGACATTTATTTGAAACAGACATTGCTACATTTTCTTGTTGTTCACCACGCGTTACGTTGTTTTAGTAATCCACGGAGTGGTGTTAAGGTTATATTATTTGCAGTCTGGACCCATGGAAGTATTTTAGTATACACAGAAAATAATATTTGCCATTTTAGATTTGACTGACACTGTTTGTATCTAGTACGCGAATGTCTTTGTTATCCAGAATACGAACGCCCATGCCCCTTTAATTTTGACACTATCATTTACAAGAGGTGAGTTGTCAGACACACACAAAGAAATTACTATAATAATAACCTAAGTCCACTTATAATGCAGCATATCTGACTAATTATAAGATAAGCAACACAATGTGACGGTGCATTTTAACACATTTTTCTCCAGCTGTCAGTTTCAACCAGATATAGACCATTACATTTGATGAAGTGGCAGGAAAACTAGATCATCCCACAAACTGAACAGTATTTACTGTAGAACTGTAAGATATCACGACAGTGCAATACCACACATGGTACGGTTGCTGAACCTGTAAAATAATTAGTCTCTTTCATTTTAATCTGCTTAAGAACGTTTTTATGCCCCGTCAATCTTATCCTGTTCGTATATGTTTTTAAATATGGTTGAGATAATGGTTGAGATATTGTTTTAACGAAACTCATGGAAACAGCTCCCATGCAATTCAGCCTCTGGCTGCCAGGTGGGACTGTCCGTACGTATTGTATATATGTTAATATTTGAATAAACCATTATTATTATTATTATATGCCACTATATCTTAAAAGCAAAGCATGTTTCTCCAGGCTTCTTGATAGTTAGGACGATCTAAAGACAATAGAGCACGTTGACAGCGCGTGTGACGCCCGAGGGCTGTTTCACAGGGTGTCTCAATCGGGGCGTTTCTACAGATAAGGACCAAGAAAAATCTACATTCAAAATCCAGTAATTATTAGTAAGGTACCTTTGCATTGCAAATGCAATAATCTTAGTCTACACGATGGTGATCCTTACATCTCTTCATGTTATACTTTGACTTGAAGTACAACGTGACGTGACAAGATAACGTGTGAAAGGTTACGAACACATTAGAACTGATTTGGCGATGCCCCGGCACTAGGTGTGGTGCAAGTACAGGGTCAACCTCTCCACCCTACAGACACCGGAGTTGTCTGCACAGCGCATTCGAGCGTAATCGGCATTAAGGCAAGTACATTATTTTTACGTTTACATAGTTAACATCTTAGAAAATCGTACGGAGAAAGGTTTAAGAACGTAAAATCATCCATTTAACGTACATAGATGTCAGCATAGATAAGGACGCAGTGTCTCATATTTTCCTGTTAAGTATTTGATTTGTGTCGTTTCTTTTCGCCGAAATTTGATCTCTTTAGTATTTGGATACCTTTGTGGTGTTTGTAGAGACGGAAATGTGACTATAGATATTTTTACAATTTCCTAATATCTACATTTTGTGATATGTTGTTTATGACCTTATTTTGGGCATAATTGACACTCTTTTGATTTTCCTTTCTAATCATATCATTTTTTTCTCTTGCTATATCTAGTGTCACAGGACCATGGGGACTCTGTTAGGGACCTTACTGCTGTTAGCAGCAGTCAGAAGGTAATCTTCCTTGCTTGTCCAATTTGAATCAATATCTAATGACCACCATTCATATTGAGAGTTCAAGCAAGCTTCAAGAATAAGCAGTAAAACGTGTTCAGACATCGGTGAGATTTCTACATCACTAGACTTAAGGATTAATTATAAGAAAATGGTAATGATGCGATTAATCCCATTTCCTTTGAATAAATGTTGTCGTCTTCATTCAAACCTGGTCCCATTTGAGGATACCTTGAACTCTGTGTTATAGTGGTAAGAATAAGTCTGTGTGATTGCGTTGGTCAGTCGATACATTCACTCTTCCATTTTACAAGGCACGTCTTCTCACATCCAGTCTACCGTAGATTGGGCGGGCTCTCTCCGCCGCCCGGCTCAAATAGGCACTCGGTACTTTATTGTGGATAAGTAAGTTAACTCTAGCCGCGTAAAAGTCCTACCGAGAGTCTAGTTAAGCCCGGCGGTGGAGAGGTCCTACACCCACGTAGAGAGCAAGCCCGATAGCCCGAGATCCACGATAGACTGGATACCAGGCATTGGTCGGCCACGGATGACTACATCGTGCAGCTGGTCACAACTGAACCCTGCCTAACTATCTAACGTAAACACGCCTGAAGTTAGGGATCTATTCAGTGAGTTGTCTAACCAGTGCCTTAAGGCACCGCCTTTTTCTCCTTTGATCCTGGGGACGAATTGATCTTATTTCTATTTACTCTTTTTAGACCAAAATTAGCGATCGAAAATTTTACATGACAAATCTGTTAGGCCCTGTAGTCAGTGTACAATTGTGCTGTACAAAATGTTGTACGAACTCACCTTCAAATTCATGACGTCGTCGTGTGTTTTCCTACCAATGACAGCGTGGCTGCCCTGTCCTGTCTCCCGTGTGACCGCTCGCAGTGCCTGCCGCCTCCCTCCTGTCCGGCTGATGTCGTCAAAGACGTCTGTGGGTGCTGCGCTGCTTGTGCAAAAGTGGGATTTTTTGTTAATTTCATTTTAAGCCATTTATGCTGTAATAGTAATGGTACCGATAGATTTAAAAAATACATGTCATGTTATCAACTATGTCCGGTTGTGAATTTAGAAGTACGTAATGTTGAATTATTTCAGGTTGAAGGGGAGAGGTGTGGTGGACCATGGGGAATAACAGGAACGTGTTCGTCAGGACTTACCTGTAATAAAGACCCAAATGACTTCAACGCAGATGGCGTCTGTGTAGGTAAGGCATTCATGTGTGTGTGTGTGTGTGTGTGTGTGTGTGTGTGTGTGTGTGTGTGTGTGTGTGTGTGTGTGTGTGTGTGTGTGTGTGCACGTGTGTGTGTGTGTGTTATAATTGATAACTGACTCAAGACAACATATATTTTTCTTTCTATAGTCGACGGAGCCCAACAATGTCCGTCTGGAAGCAGCTGGAGTTACTGCGGCAGTGCGTGTCCCGCCACATGTGATGAACAGCCGATGTTCTGCACTCTGCAGTGCGTCGCCAGGTGCGTGTGTGACGACAGGACTCACGTGTGGCATAACAATGTGTGCATCCCGCCTGGCTCCTGTCCCAGGCAGTTCTGTGAGTACAACGGAAGGCGTTATAAGGTAAGAGAAGAAATTACAGAAAAAATCCTTTCTCCAGCTGGTTTTACTACAATGACCTGCTACCTCTAAATGCTGCACACTAGTAAACGCCAGGCACGTTAAATCAAACTCAAAGGCCCATTATGTAACATTTTTTACTCAAAATAAAACAAAATAATCTCGAAAACAAAACTTTCATGGGAATGGAATATACAACCTCTTTTTAGCATATTTGCATCATTTGTTGCACACGTCTACTTTACCAATACCAAGCTGTACAATTTGTGCTGATTTCTTAAGGCCATTGCCATTAGGACCTCGGGCCATACCAAGGACATTATGTACTTTCCCTGGTCTTTCACACAATCAGTAGTGTCTCTCACCTTGCTTACGTTTCGGTGTCTATCAGATACTTTCCTCATAGCTTCTGACTCTGACTAGAGGCCTGAATAGAGCCTGCCAACTCCCCTCGGGCCCAACTTCCCAGTATAGTAGCAAAAATTTAGAAAGGCGGACGAAGGGCTCTTGGCTGCCGAAGGAAAACGGCCAACCGCCCAGGGCACCCGCCGCTGTATGTAGTTCCGAGGAAGGTGCGTGATAGACACAGCAAGGTAAGAGACAATACTGGCTGTGTAAGAGAAAATCCCGTTGTCCTATTTTCTACAACCTGATGAAACTATTTTCGGATGTCCTTGGTCATACAAACAGTGTCGCTACTGTTGATAACAGGTGGGAGAGTCCTGGGGTGTGAGAGAGACAGCCGGTAAGAACTGCCTGTGTGACGGGCGGGGGGAGAGATGTCTGTTCGTGGACTGCTCACCGGGAAGTGAACACTACTTGACCACGGCAGGCACCTGGGACTGCAGGCCTGTCCGTAAGAAATTAAACCTTTGCACCGAGAAGACTCCGTTATGAGTAACGATAGAATAAATGAAGCCCTTTATTGACATGTTGCTGGCCATCAGTTCAGGTCAGATTCTGACAATCATACATAAAATAAACATGTAGATAGCTAACAACATATACTTTGGTACTTCATCTCAATTAACTGTATAAATGTAGGAGGAGGTACGTGCCCCCGTGGGTACACAAAGCTCATGCACACCAGCGGCAAGTCTCCCTGTTACCGCTTCGCCAGGAAGCCGGCGACGTACGGCGAGGCGGCGGCCAGCTGCCGTGCGGACGGGGGACGACTCGTGACTATCCGCACCCCCCTCGCACAATTCAGGGTCACGGTGAGCACTAGTAGCTCTTCTCACGTATCTGCCTGGTTACGTAACAAACTTGTGTCTTAGATCCTTGTCGTTGGTTCTATCACAGTCGTTGGTTCTATCAAAATCCCATGTAAAATTGTGGAACGACGAATGTGACCGCACCGTTAGTTATGGTATCTATGGCTCTAAGCATGGCTGGAAAAATAGTAGAAATTGGCCAAATAGACAAGATAGCATACCACGGTTGCAAATAAGACCCTATAGCCAGCTAACTTCTCTGGTATGCCATTCAGTCTCCTTCTAGCTCCATGGTCTATCTGGCCAATTTCTATTAGTTTTCCAGCAAGCTGAAGAGCCGGGTAGAGGCTAATACAAACGTGTAACTACACTATTTGATATGCTCTGCAATATTGCGAGCGTATGAAGGTAGTCTATTCAAAATACTTAATAAAGACTGCTATTTACTATTCCCCCATTCTGTACAGATTTTGGCCTTCTTAAAGATTCACGCGGGCTCATGGATCGGGCTGAGCGACCGCGGGCGGGCGGGGACGCTGGTGTGGAGTGACGGCGTGAAGTACAACGGACGTCGGTACAGCCACTGGGGCCCGCGCTACTGGAACACACCCGGCTATAACTGCGTCTACCTGGTCCAGCCGCTGTACCGCTGGCAGCGGGGCAGGTGCGGCTTGAGGCGCGCGTACATTTGCGAGTACAACCCGTACAACTGACTCCGAGCCAACACTGCACAGCCCGTGAATCGAGTGGGCTTCAATCGCATGCTAAATCCAAGCTCTATATAATGTCAATGCTAAACCGTAGAGTCTGATTACATCTAATTTGAGATTTTAAAAACTAGCTAAGAAGCTAGACTGATGAGTAAGATGCTGCCAACCGAATCTACAGCATCATTGGCAAATTACGCTAAACTTAACAAACAGCAGTGCCAGTAGGAACTAGGCGTGCTGTTATGACATGTTAACCATGTCATACATTGATCATGTTAGACTTAATGCATTTTATGTTTCATCATACAATTCTGTTCATTCATTATAAAGCAATATATAAGAGGAAAGGTCAGGTCCCATATGGTCTGCCTGATTGTAGTTTTATCATTTGTATCGATGTTGTTGTTTTTTTCTGAGGTATTTAAGATATATACACATGTCAGATAAACTAACTTTACTTGCAAATCAGACTATCGCGTGTATGGGTGGAAATATGGAATAAAATAAGGTGTAAACAATTCATGCGTGTTATTTTTCTTGACGTCTAAGGGAAACCATTTACTAGTATTATGTTTATACTTTATACTACATGTATCTTCATAGTAGATCTTTCTAGTAACCCCTGGGTAAAAGTACAGTGTGATAGTTCAATTGACATTGTGGAGAAATGCGTCCCTTAAACACAATGTAATGAGTACAATTAAAACTACTTTTATAACGTGCCAATCACCGATCCTGTAATAGTACGGGGTTGTCTATGAAACAGTAAGCCCATAGTCAATAAGGATCCGACATTTGCTAAATTGATATTTTTTTAATGTGTAAACCTATACATAGTGTCCAGTGCATCATTATCATTGACGTCACTGTTGTCATGTATGTGATAAAACCCGCGAGAGAACAACGTTTGCACATTCAAAAGTTTGTATTGCCTTCCACAGGAAGTAACGGTTAGATCAATCGACCACCTACGGTACAGAAGCCGTCCCAAATCAATACAATTACCGCTATTATAAACACGTAAAGATACAACAATTTGATCAGAAAATTGTCATTTGTAGTGAAAAAGGACCCCCTCCACCACAATATCCGGTCACACATGTTTTTGTAAACTCGTGGGGTGAACGACATCCGTGTTTCAGGCCTTGATTCCAGTACTCAGTATACCAATATCCAAGAAGGACGTTTGAGTTTCAGGTCACAATGAAGTTACGTCTGATTCATAATTGATTCAACAGTCCACATCAAGAGTCCATAGCAACAAATCCTCGTTGCAAAATGCTCTCACCCACCAAATGTACATAAAACGGTATCTCTTGATTATACTTTTTTCATTCCTTGTGATCTAATTATGTAACCTACGTTGGACGCTAATCCTCTGGGTAAGATTGTCCGTGTACATTTAGGTTCAGATTTCTGTCATGGCAACCAGGTATACAACTTGTCTTTAAACTTCAATATTGCTGTGCAACTTTGATTAAAAGCCGAAATGCCAATTTGCAGGAGTTTAACTTAAAACGTGGACTAACTGACACTTTCTGGATTTAGGGCCAAATGTATTTTGCACGACAGTACAGGTCTTTGATGCAGTCTTTAAAACGTGGATTGGAACCGCTTTATTGACTTAGGCTGCCTAATCCGCTTTTTAATCATTTAGATGGCTGTTGCGCAACGCGTTAGATTGCATAAACCTAATTTTCCAAGCCGTGAACTTGTATAAAACAGGGATTAAGTGTTGCCTACGAATAAAACCCGGTTGCAGAACCCCCACCTTGGCAAAATACTGGCTGTGCTGTGGATTTCGGACGTTCTGTGGAAGGTTAGCAGTCTGAAACATAGTCAAACCTAAACGGGTAGGCTGGTATCACTATCATTATGCATGCTATATTCTTACGAAGTGACAAAGATGTGTATATCAACCATATTTACATCATACAACTGACGACTAAGGTATCGCCTTCCTAACTATGCAGCAATTTTGGTACAAAAATCCAACGTTTTTCGCTCGTCTTTCGGTACAATAACTTCCAAGAAACACGCCTTTCCTTTATTGTGCTTCTTGTTGACCTGACAGGACGACAGGACTGGACTCCTCATCATGAAGAGGGCGGCTGTGTTCGCAGCTCTGGTACTGGTGTCTGCACTAAGGTTCGTACAGCTTGTTTTGTTAGGGCCATGGTCACATATGTCGTACGGTCGTCGCACGATAGCAAACTGAATTCATTCTTGGAAATGTCGTGCATATGTCGTTCAAGATTCAGTCGTCTTGTTACGGAAAGGCTGTCTGCGTGACGGCTTAGATCTAGGTCGGTGGTTACTAGTAGTTCTGTCGCAGTCTGCTTGAAAATCCTAAATCCTAAAAATTTCCTAATTCCCACGATCGCACGACGACTTACGTGACCGCGTCGTTATACTGCATTCAACATCTATGTAGTAGCAGGCGTTACCGCCCAGTCCATGTTAGCAGGAACTTATATAATATCATCTTGTTTTATCGCGTAACGTAATGGTGAAATGCATATAATAGTATGCAGGGAACGGTCTTATAGCCAATAGTATAGTTCTGTTATCTCAAAACGCACATGCAATTGTACAATTAGCCATTACAGTACTTTGAAATATTACAGCGTGACAAAACATCGAATCGAGAAGAAAGAATATTTTATGAGTTGAAGTTTCCTGTGAAAATCTTAATCTATCTATGTGTATGTCCGACAGCGCCGCGGCAGGTCGTTGTCCCCCGTGTCTGAAGAAGGTCTGTCTGCCCACACCGTCATGTCGGGGGGAGGTCGTCAAGGATGCGTGCGACTGTTGTGACATATGCGCAAAGGTAAAGTCCCTGTTACTTACATATGCAGAACCTTCTCCCGAACACCCACCGACCAAGACAGCTGACTTCTGTGGGGTCGTGTGGCGTAACGACAGAGCGTTCGGCTCGGAGGGAAAGGCACTTAACACGGCTTTCCTTACTTAACTCAGGTGAAAATGAGTATGCCTTTTGTTTATATAGTCATGCGTTGGTCCTCTGCGTTGGCATGAATTTGAGTGTGGCGTCACCATGGCTTGGGATAGAAATATGGAATTGAGCCATAATGTAATGTTGTGTATGGCACATGCACGATTATCCGAAGAATACTTTGAGTGCGGCGAATGTGACCGAGCCCTTAGATGAAATCAATTCAAGCAACCTTCCATCCCTGAAGGCGACTGTAGCGCCCGTCATTGTCTTTTATACAGCGTCGGTAATCATTGATAGGATTATGTCGGGGATTGTGTCTATTGTTAGCCTCTACCAGGCTTCGGGAAGCGGCTGCAAAGAGTAGAAATCGGCCAAATAGAGAGATAGCATGCCAGGGGAGTTGGAGAGAACAGTTTGCCACACCAGGGTGGGTGAGGCTATCTATTGTGACCTCTGGGTGGGAGGGATGGGAAGTGGTGTAATACCTGCTTGAATTACGTCATACACACGAGGACTGTGAACTTGCAAGTTACGAGAACCTGTGGCCATCATGATTCCCTGAAGTCTGAAATCTCCGAATTTCTTCTTCTCTTATGATTTAGATGGAGGGAGAGAGATGCGGAGGACTCCGGGATACTGCTGGGACATGCTCGTCCGGACTGTCGTGTGTAAAGAAACCATCTACGAACAGCTGGTTGAGAAAATTTGGGACGGGAACCTGCCGAGGTAGGGTCATTATCCACATGATCACCTCATTATATGGGGCAGTGGTATCACAGAAGATAAGGGGTTTTATTCATTTCGGCGCTCTTCTTGGTGGAAGCCGTCCCCTTGTGTTCATAAGGTCATGTTGTCATTATATGGATCACATCCTCTGGGGACCCTGAAACTGATGCGAGCGTGCGAACATAAAAAAGTTGCTTTCATTGTGAAATCTGTGTGGTCATGGAGGTTGAACAAATGACCGAACACACAGAGTATGGTAAGGCAAATAACTCATTTATATTTCTTCACACTTTTCTTTGGAATTGATTTTGGCATTCGCGGCGGCATTAGTGTTGTTTTCCAATATTTGTCTTTGGCAATTTACGGCATACTTTGCAGCTGCATTTGTACTGTTCACAATATGGTCTGAAACTTGTTTTTTGGAAACGGACATGCGCGCGGATGTCCTCCATATAATCAAATCAACATGCATATGATCTAATACTAGTAGGTAACCAAAAAAAGTTTGTCCACTGAACAACCACATTATGCAGGTGCTAGGGAATATGCTGTCATCCCTGTACCAGCCCAACCCCTACATACCACAGCTGCTCACAGACTCGGAGATATGATATTTCAGCGTAACTTCAATGCACAGGAAATAGGTTCTGTTGTCTAGGTTTGAAGTCAGTCATTTGTTACCCGTGTCTGTTGTTTCCTGCACAGCCGCGTGTCCAGCGAACAGCCACATGTCCATGTGCTTGGGAAGGTGCCACCCCACATGCAAGGACCCGCTGCCTATGTGTACAAGGTCAAGGATTTGCTATCCCGGCTGCAGGTGCGACAAAGGCTACGCGTGGAAGGACAAGAAATGTATCCCAATGGACCAGTGCCGATCAATCACGACTAAAGGTAAGTTTACTTAAGTTTGAGTAACTGTTACACAGCGTTACCCAAGCATCTGCCGTGGATAGATTTTGAAAACGACCAGACGTTTCAGGCAACATCCACTATCTTTCGTCGTTATATCCGATGTAATTTCAGGGCGGCAAAACTGGATTTTTAAAGTCAATGCCTGGTCATTGTTGCTTGTCTCGTGGCTGGTTCTAGCAACTTATGGGCGGTACCAAACAATACCTTTCCTCGTGTAGCTCGTTGTTTCGTGGCTATTTCAGAATCTTTGAGTATAAAATGGTGGCAAAAATGTGCTAAAAAATAGACAGTAATGTCAGATTATTTCATCCAGAATATGTTTTGTTTTGCCACCCTGAAATTGCACTGGATGCCTGTCACCGTTCTCATGTTTATCTTACCAACAGGATGTCTAACATTCATCGACGTAAGTTTCTGTATGTTAGTTATCATGACTGTTTGATAGAATGTCAGACAGAATGTGTGGGTAGTTGTTAGCCAATATAAACATCCGTACCCTACGTTGTGTTTTCTTAACCCTTTCTCTTCGTCCCCAACATGGTAATGAATAAATAAATGAATGAATTAGAGACCCTCATTTACAAGTTCAATTTCCTTTTGTCTTTAAGGCAGTTGTAGAGGTATAGAATATGGAGCTAATGATATACGGTTTATCTAGTTTCCTAAGGAATGCGAATTTTTCTGATCTAAGTGTCTAAGTTTTTATACAAGTATAGAGTGTTTCTCTCTTATTTCTATACAGTCAACTTCAAAGTAACACTCATCCTGAATTTCGTCTAAATTGCAAGATTTCAAAATAACTACAAATAATTTGCTTTAGAGGAATGTTGTTCTCTCTCTCTTCATCACCCAGAAAGTTGCCGTGTGGGAGATGGGGCGTCCTACCGAGGAACCGTCTCCGTGACCAGAACAGGCAAGACGTGTCAGCGCTGGGACAGTCAGACACCACATAGCCACACCAGGACACCCGAGAACTTCCCATCATCCGGACTGGAGCAGAACTACTGCCGGAATCCGGACGGCGATCCCGAAGGACTTTGGTGCTACACCACGGACCCCGGCTCGAGATGGGAGTATTGTAACGTACCGCCGTGTGGTAAGGTCTGAGTGGGGTCGTGTAGCGTAACGGTAGAGTGTTCGTCTCGGAACCAAGAGGTCCCGGGTTCGAACCCATGCTACTCATCTTGTGCCTTTTGGAAAGGCACTTTACACGAATTTCCTCACTTAACTCATTAATTCCCTCACTGAGTCAATTCACGAATTTCCACCCTTATCTCACTAATTTCCACCCTTATCTCACGAATTCCCTGCCTTAACTCACGAATTCCCTAACTTAATTCACGGATTCCCTCATTGCCCAGTTGTGGTCACACTAAACTCTGGGTACAAACTGCTTACAACAACGCTTTCAGAATCTTGTTTGCATATGTGAAAATACGGGGTTGCCAGCCTAATGTTTGTGTCACCTTTGATGCCTGTAGAAGGATATTAACTCACTCCATTGTTACTAGCCTCCTCAACTCTAATAATGGTATCATAAANCTTGTTTTTTTTTAAACGGACGAAAATTCATGCGCGCGGATGTCCTCCATATAATCAAATCAACATGCATATGATCTAATACTAGTAGGTACCAAAAAAAGTTTGTCCACTGAACAACCACATTATGCAGGTGCTAGGGAATATGCTGTCATCCCTGTACCAGCCCAACCCCTACATACCACAGCTGCTCACAGACTCGGAGATATGATATTTCAGCGTAACTTCAATGCACAGGAGATAGGTTCTGTTGTCTAGGTTTGAAGTCAGTCATTTGTCACCCGTGTCTGTTGTTCCCTGCACAGCCGCGTGTCCAGCGAACAGCCACATGTCCATGTGCTTGGGAAGGTGCCAACCCACATGCAAGGACCTGCTGCCTATGTGTACAAGGTCAAGGATTTGCTATCCCGGCTGCAGGTGCGACAAAGGCTACGCGTGGAAGGACAAGAAATGTATCCCAATGGACCAGTGCCGATCAATCACGACTAAAGGTAAGTTTACTTAAGTTTGAGTAACTGTTACACAGCGTTACCCAAGCATCTGCCGTGGATAGATTTTGAAAACGACCAGACGTTACAGGCAACATCCACTATCTTTCGTCGTTATATCCGATGTAATTTCAGGGCGGCAAAACTGGATTTTTAAAGTCAATGCCTGGTCATTGTTGCTTGTCTCGTGGCTGGTTCTAGCAACTTATGGGCGGTACCAAACAATACCTTTCCTCGTGTAGCTCGTTGTTTCGTGGCTATTTCAGAATCTTTGAGTATGAAATGGTGGCAAAAATGTGCTAAAAAATAGACAGTAATGTCAGATTATTTCATCCAGAATATGTTTTGTTTTGCCACCCTGAAATTGCACTGGATGCCTTTAACCGTTCTCATGTTTATCTTACCACCAGGATGTCTAACCTTCATCGACGTAAGTTTCTGTATGTTAGTTATCATGACTGTTTGATAGAATGTCAGACAGAATGTGTGGGTAGTTGTTTCCCAATATAAACATCCGTACCCTACGTTGTGTTTTCTTGACCCTTTCTCTTCGTTCCCAACATGGTAATGGATAAATGAATGAATTAGAGACCCTTATCGTACGTTTATGCTCTTTCAAGTTAAGTACAGGTCATGTATAAAGCAGAGGTAAAAACGACAATAATATCCATAACTATACTTACTAAAGTGAACTATTATTTACAAGTTCAATTTCCTTTTGTGTTTAAGGCAGTTGTAGAGGTGTAAAATATGGGGCTTCTGATATACGGTTTATCTAGTTTCCTAAGGAATGCGAATTTTTCTGATCTAAGTGTCTAAGTTTTTATACAAGTATAGAGTGTTTCTCTCTTATTTCTATACAGTCAACTTCAAAGTAACACTCATCCTGAATTTCGTCTAAATTGCAAGATTTCAAAATAACTACAAATAATTTGCTTTAGAGGAATGTTGTTCTCTCTCTCTTCATCACCCAGAAAGTTGCCGAGTGGGAGATGGGGCGTCCTACCGAGGAACCGTCTCCGTGACCAGAACAGGCAAGGCGTGTCAACGCTGGGGCAGTCAGACACCACATAGTCACACCAGGACACCCGAGAACTTCCCATCGTCCGGACTGGAGCAGAACTACTGCCGGAATCCGGACGGCGATCCCAAAGGACTTTGGTGCTACACCACGGACCCCGGCTCTAGATGGGAGTATTGTAACGTACCACTGTGTGGTAAGGTCTGAGTGGGGTCGTGTAGCGTAACGGTAGAGTGTTCGTCTCAGAACCAAGAGGTCCCGGGTTCGAACCCATGCTACTCATCTTGTGCCTTTTGGAAAGGCACTTTACACGAATTTCCTCACTTAACTCATTAATTCCCTCACTGAGTCAACTCACGAATTTCCACCCTTATCTCACTAATTCCCTGCCTTAACTCACGGATTCCCTCATTGCCCAGTTGTGGTCACACTAAACTCTGGGTACAAACTGCTTACAACAACGCTTTCAGAATCTTGTTTGCACATGTGAAAATACGAGGTTGCCAGCCTAATGTTTGTGTCACCTTTGATGCCCGTAGAAGGTATTAACACACTCAATTGTTACTAGCCTCCTCAACTCTAATAATGGTATCATAAAGCTTACAATTTACTCTTATATATTCACTCTCAGTAACTACTGGCAGCGGTGGTTCGGGCCGGCCTACAAACGGTAATAAATTCATTTTTTAACACCGCTATATTGTATCTCAGTTTTTTTTACCTGTATTGATGCATTCATCTTTGTATGTATACCTTTGTGTTTTTAAATCTATGTAATGATATGGGCCTTTGGTACCAGAAATAAAGAATAGATAAAATAAAATAATTTGGGATTGTCCATTTTAACAATTTTCGCAAGCTGAGCTCATCACTTAACTACGTTTGTGACTTTATCTAAAACGTAGATAAGTGTGCTACAAACCCATGCCAACACGGACGCTGTGTGAACACAGCGGATGGATACAAATGCACCTGCTCACCTGGATGGACTGGACAGGACTGCCAGCAAGGTATGTGTGGTAAATAAAAACGTAAACATGCATTTTTCTTAATCTTGGGTTTTCTTTAAAAGGATATTTCATATTTCGTATTCCACTGACTCTGAACCTAAGATCTTATCGATTACATGATATGAAGGCTGTACAACAATGTGACTATTATTCCTCACACAGAAATCAATCAGTGTATACCTGACCCTTGCCAACATGGACGCTGTGTGAGCAAAACTGGTGGATACGATTGCATCTGCACGCCTGGATGGACCGGACAGAACTGCGGTGGGTACTTTTTGTACCATGTTGATTTGATTATATGGATACGCATGAATTTCGACCATACTGTAAATCGTACAAAGCAGCTGCAAATTGAGTAAACATGCCGTATATGGCTTAAAAGATACTGGAAAACGATAGCAATGTCGTAGAATACCAAAATCAATTCCAAAGGCAAAGAAGAAGGAAGGAAAATTAAGAGTCGATTATTCGCCATAATATATTCAACCTTGATGACTACGTTTATTTCATACTGAAGGCTGCTTTTTTTGCCAAACCTTTTTATTCGCACGCTTGCATCAGTTTTGGGGTTCCCAGAGGTGTCCTTCATATATTAGTCAAATCAACATGGTGTTATTTTGACACATTGGTGGCATAAAGGTAGTACTTACTTGATTTCTTAGTCACTGATTGATGTAATTCTGATATCTATTAGCACAATGGGTTTAAACTTATGTATTATATCTACACACAGACACAAGTGCGTGTACCAGAAATCCTTGCCAACATGGACGCTGTTCTGTCTTACCTCGTGGATACAGATGCACCTGCTCAACTGGATGGGGTGGAAAGAACTGTGATCAAGGTATGTGGCAAATAAAGACATACACATGGATCTGTTCTTAATGTTGTCTTCTATAAAATGATGTCTCTAATTTCTTATTCCACTGGCTCTATATTATATGGCCGTATGATATAAAGATTGCACAACAATGTCAATTGATTATTCCTCCCACAGATATCAATGAGTGTACGACCCACCCTTGCCAACAAGGAACCTGTGTGAACAAAGATGGTGGATACAACTGTACCTGCTTCCCTGGGTGGACTGGAAAGAACTGTCGGCAAGGTGAGTAAATAATGTTAATTGTTTTTGGCGACACCTCAGGGGGGGAGCCATTGGTATAGTACTGCGATTGAGTTGAAAATATTATAAGAACGGCTGAATGGATTGATTTCATACTTGGTGCGTTGGTAGGGTGTGACTACATCTAGAAATTATGAGATTTTAGGCCCCCTAATGGCTTCTCTTGGTACTGCAGCAGAACTTCTGGTCTTGATATCTCTCTTTTTCATTTTCTTTATCAATAGTAAGAAAGTTTATTGCAAATACTTGCCCGAGGGCTAATTGCAGTTACAAACAACATAGAAAGAAAATACAATGGTATGTGAGACTATATCTACTTCTAACATTATTCTATTAATGTTTATCAAGGCAAAACTTGGTCATGTCCCACTTGAAATCCAAGGCAGCGTTACCCTATATGTTGTGCCTTCGTATACCTTCCCCCATCCTCAACTTGATAATGTTCCACTCATAGAGTTAAAATACTAGCTCCATGGTTCCACTTGCAGTTCAAGGCAGCGTTTATTAATTACCCTCAAAAATGTCATCACCCAGCAAGTTGCCGTGTGGGAGATGGGGCGTCCTACCGAGGAACCGTCTCTGTGACCAGAACAGGCAAGACATGTCAACGCTGGGACAGTCAGACACCACATAGTCACACCAGGACACCCGAGAACTTCCCATCATCCGGACAGGAGGAGAACTACTGCCGGAATCCGGGCGGCGATCCCGAAGGAGTTTGGTGCTACACCACGGACCCCGGCTCTAGATGGGGGTATTGTAACGTACCGCCGTGTGGTAAGGTCTGATTCTGTAACCTTAAGTAACAGCTAATGTTTGTAACTACCGGTACCGTGTCAACGCTCTGTCTAGTATAATATTACTGCTCCTCCGCATTTCGACGTTTTGTGCACATCAACCGATGTCGTTTATTTGCTGACTAGTTATAAGAATTACCTCGAAGCAATGGAATCTCCTTGGTTGGACATAACTGGACATAACCATGTTGGGGATGGGAGGTTTAGTCACGGGGTGCCACTCCAGCCAGATGGGAGGGACAGAGTTGTGGACATGCGCTACCGTATGGTGGATTATCGTCACGTTGTAAAAACAAATGACGTAAAGTCTCTGCAAGTTGTTATCGTGCAGTGGAGAGTATGGGGGAGGATTTTGTTCTCTGGAATTGGAAAATGGGTCAACAAATATGTAAGAAATTTTCTTTTTAAAGATCTAAGAAAAGATATTTTCTTTTCTACTCTTTTTTCTTTGTCAGTGGCAAACTGCCCCGCCAACAGCCACTGGTTACAGCACGGTTCAGCCTGTCGGCCATCTTGCGACGACCCTTCTCCGAAGTGCACCAAGGGCACCAGGACGAACGTACCGGCCGGATGTCACTGTGAGACTGGACATGTGTGGGAGGGCGATGTCTGTGTTCCCCTCTCAGACTGCCCGGCTAGGAGCTGTCAACAAGGTGGCAAAACTTACCAAGTACGTATATTCTTGATCAATCCTAGTTCACATTGTTGAAGTGTTTTGTACTCCATAAAGTGCCTTTTATCTAACTTAAACATTATATGGCTTCCGCATGAAAGTTCATTTGAGCGAGCCTCTAACTCTGCCCTAGTCCTGCGTCATTCAATCTCCTCGGTTGTTCCGATAGATTTTTAAAAAACTGTGGCAAATATACAGATCTTGACACATTGCAATTTGCGATACCAAAACCGTCTGTGTCCTCATCAGTGTTTGGCCACAAGTATCAACGATCAGCCGAAAGACCCGGTGTGAAGTGCCTTTGCCTTCCACAACATCGGGCATGTCTGGGGATCGAACCCGGGGCCTTTTGGTTCCGAGCCGAACGCTCTGACTATTACGCCACACGATGCCACTAAATTAACGAAAATGCAGAATAATTTCCCAGCGGTCTGAAATCTCCTGTTTCTTCTTCATGTGTAGCTCGGTGAGACCTGGGCCCGGCAGGACGTTCCCGGTACCACGTGCAGCTGCTCACAAAACGGGACAGTCCACTGTGAGCGGAAGAAGTGTCCACATGGGGAGCTCATCGGGAAGGACGGGATGTGGACATGCAAAAAACCCGGTAAGGTATCTGCTATCTATTTCATATGATGTATCGGCAAAAATATCTAGTCGCACGTTTCCCAAAACGTCATCCACTCGCCGATTTCTTTTCCCATCTTTTGTTATTTCTTAGACCGGTTAATCTTTAATACAAGCAACAAATTAAGAAAGTGTGTGTGTGTGTGTGTGTGTGTGTGTGTGTGTGTGTGTGTACAGTCATACAACACAGAGTGAGTGAGAGAGGGACAGAGTGAGAGAGAGAGTGAGAGAGGCTCGAACACAAAGAGTTAATCAACGACTAAGCCATACGTGCTACCATTTCATCCTGAAAAGACATCTGGAAATATACGATGCAACATAAACCATTAGTTAGTTTCTTTTTTTTTA